GTTGGCAACTAAATCTTCGCTGATCTCACCTGTAATTACTGGGATTAAGGCTGATGAAACCTTAATGCCTTCTAAAACTTGAATGGCTTAACTAGTACAGAATATGAATACTTGATTAAAGATATGAACAGTATTATCGCAAAGGGTCGATGAGGATTTGAATCAAGAAATCAAGTTTTAGAGATTATCATTCATGTTTCTTGCAATGAATGAAGATTAACATGAATAATGAATCTATCTTCTGGTAAATGGATTCTTTCAAAATTCAGTATCTGACTGAATGCAGTTGCAGCAAATATCAAGTTTTTAGAGATTATCATTCATGTTTCTTGCAATGAATGAATATTAACATGAATAATGAATTTATCTTCTAGTGAATGGATTCTTTAAAAATTCAGTATCTGACTGACTGCAGATGCAGCAAGTCGTGTGCAGAGGGACCCAGCCATCGAGGGGTGCTGCATGGTGTCATCGAGGAGGGGCTCGCAACTGTCTTTTACTATAGACCAAATGCAAGGAACAAGGCTACTGATTGATTGATATTGGTATATGTTGATATTGCTATTCAGTGCATCCCAGAAAAAATGAAACATGAATACAAACAATTGTTTTGAACAGAGTTGTGAGATGTATCAATGGGGCCTTGCTTGCCAGAGGGTAATACGCTTTCCAATGATACACTGATCGCATTTAATAGTCCATATATGCTTTACTATTAAAGCAACATCGTTTTGACAATTTATTGTCTGGGACACACTGTAATATATTGATTGATTGATAGTGGTAGGGGGAGGGGCACATGTGAAAGTGGATCATTTCATCTTTTGATGTTACCTCTTCCTCTCCCTTTCTTCCTCTCTTTTTTCCTCGCTCTTTCTCGTCATCCTCTAGGAGGAACATACCCCAACCCAAAAGCCATACCATAGTATGTTGCCTTCACAGACGTTTAAAAGACCATCCCTTCATCAGCTGGGACAGTCTTCATTCCTTATTGACCTAAGGTCCAAGAAGAACCTTGACGAGGAAGGATGAGGACCCTAAAATAGATTTGATCCCTTCACAAATCAGCACATGGAGGGTGGAAAGAAAATTCAGAAACTCAAAACCCACTCGCTTCCTGGACCATAGAGCAGGAGAGCCTATGAAGGAGGTACTGGATATTGACCCGAGAAGGCACGGTTTCATTTAGAAAAGATACGAGTAGGCCTACAGCTTTCATACTTGCGGCTTATGTCAGACCAGACCTAAATCAAGTGTCTTTATTTACATTACAAAATGGAAGTTATAGGCATTTCTTAATTGTATTTCTGACACTTTGTGTCTCCACCCCCTACCATCCTATGTTTTTAAAAATACATGTATGGTGTAATATCCAAATCAGGAAAAATTTCAAAATCAAAATGTAGCGAAATATTGATAATACTTCATAATTGAGTTAACTTCCTTTTGACTCTGAACACACGATCATATGATGGAGTTTTATAGTGGAAGGGGGAGAGATCATGATCATGTGTGTGATTAGCGTTACACAAGACCATGGCCTGGGAATGCCGAGTTCATTCCTGACCGCGGCTTACCCCTCATCTTTTCCTTTCCTTTCCTTTCCTTTTCCTTTCCTTTTCCTATCCTGAAGCAGAAACTCCTGTTTTTCACCTCATCAGGTCAACTCTAAATATGCCAGGAATGTTGAAGGACCCATCAAAAATACTATGCGAAAACAGAACTATGTTTGTAGCATTGAGGGACATAGGGGTCAATGTAATATGCTTACTAATGCACTATGGCTATTATGCCGTCCAAATTAGTTACTTCTTGCCACAACCACTCAAAACACAATACTACATCAAAATTAATTTAGAAAAATTTTGCATCATCAATTAGAATCCTTGTCAAAGTTAAATATTATTGACATTACAAATTTGGATCTCTTATGTCGGCGTGGTTTCAGCCATTTACTGAGTAAATTACCTTTCATAATATATTATCTGTCCAATTTGTAATTCATCATGGGTTTAAACTCTGAACTGAAGTCAATGTCCATTAATTTTTAATGATGGAAGCCATGTAAATGTGAACAATTGATTGAACAATGCAAGGTTATTCTTTATTCTCTCTCTCCGCCCCTATGATTCTACCCCCCTCCCCAATCATCCTATTCTACATGCAAGTACAATGGAGCTTTTCTCTATACATCAGCTTTTTCAGAGTACCCCCCCCCCCCCATCCCCCCTCTCTCTCTCTCTCTCTCTCTCTCTCTTTCTTTTTTTCTACTTCTGTTTCTTTCCCATCTCTCTTCCCATCACTCTTCCCCTCTCTTGTCCTCTTACTCATTCTTACCCTCCATATCCCTCTCAGCCCCTCTGTTGACGTACACATTGAGCAATCTCCCTCAAACACATTGTAGGAAAACAACATGGAAATATGAATCCAGCAGACGACTTAAAACTTAAACCCCGATTTCAGGGAGCCCGGGTCTTATGACTCACGCGCAATCAATCAGAAATCCATGATCTGGGATTCTTTGTGTTCCTTCTTCTTGCTTTGTTTATCCTGAACCCATCTTCTTCCTCTTTCCCCATCTTCGATTTCCCCCCTTAACCTAGGCTGGAGGTGTCATCACAACATGGCTTTGTTATTCTAGAGTTCAGTGCCCCATGGCTGAACTCGTCTGCTTCATGGCTACAACTTGAGGGTGAAGCCACAGTGAAAGAGTCGGGATCTGGCATGTACTTGAAGTTGCACAAAGCAGGTTGAACACCTACAATTCTGTATTTCAGTATTGATTTAAACGCTCTGAATCTGTTGCATAGTGTATGCACCATCCCCACTGCTTGGGGAGCATCAGTTGCTCGTTACCTACAAGCTGAATTTACCCCCTCACCCCATCCCATTTATGTGACTAAGATCATATACCTGGCCCACATATTATGTGCACCATCTCCCTTTTCTTAGAAAGAATTCACAGCTTAGTACATATAGAGCCTGTATGTATGGGAGAGCTCTTGCTGGGGAAAGTTGTAAAGAATTCCAGCTTCAGCAAAGCTGCCCATAGTCTCAAACCCTCTAGTCTACAGGTTCACAAACAGTATGTGCACCATCTTCACTTCTTGAGAGTCCTTTCCAGCTTTTAGCTGGGAAATAGAGTAAGAGCAAGTAGTCATTTACTCTGATGTTAAAACAGAGTGTCTAAAGGTTCCACAAAGATACTATCGAATCTCTCAAAGACAACATCCTTTACAGACAAATCAAAGTGACTCTATTTGGTCCTTTAAAGACATGGCCTGACATTTAAGATCAGGAAACTTCCAGAAATCTGAAATTCCAGAATATATCCCTTGGAAATTATGCAGGTTGCAATGATTTCCTCTGGCAAGTGCAAGTAACCTCTGAGTGTTGTCCTCGCTCTAAATCAAAGACCTTAGAAAGTCTAAATGATAAAGAACTCCAATACAGAGAGCAGAAAATTCCAAACTAAGAAGTATACAAACAGGAAGTTCTTCAAAACAGACAATATTTTTTAATATAAGGACTGTGACATTTTTTCCCCATTTTTTTTTTCTTTTAAGAATTAACAGATCAGAAATAGTATCACCTACATTCAATTTCAAAAAGGTCCTTTTGTTTATACTCAATATATTTGGAAAAGACCACCTACAGAAATAATTGTCACCATTTGGTTTTATGACTCATTAAAGATATTTCATTTGGAATATTGGGCCAAGAACTATAGGTTTAACTTACTCAGAAAAATATAAATAGACAAATTTTCCGCAATTTTCCTAGCCTTGCCAAATCACTATAAGAGTGATCACATCCCAGTTATATATTTCTTTGGCAACCTTGGTAATTATAATTTTGTTTTATCATCGAATTGACGACGACTCTTCCATAAAAAATTGTTCTTGGGAAAAATTCAGGAAGAGGGGTCCCTGCTAAACTAGGCCAGCCAGATATTGGAAGCAAGCCACAATAAACCTGGGGGTGTTTCACAAAGATCCTAAGTAGAACTTAATACTAAGTTGGACTTAAAAATTATGGACAGCCATTGGAGCCTTAAAATGAAACATATTCAAAAGCTAAATTCAAGTATTTTAGACTTTTCATAAATTCCACATCAAGAACATGAAATCTCCCAAGATAATAGAAAATATGAATGATTTGAATTAACATTTTATGCCTTTTCAAATAATTTTTACAAAATATTTTCAATGATGCTAACGGCTTTCATATTTATTAAGTTCAACTTAGAGTTAAGTTCGACTTAGGATCTATGTGAAACACCCCTCTGGTCAACATTAACGCATAGAGATGGGAAGGTGGAGGGGGTTTATCGTTGAAGGGAAGGGGTATGTTAACATTGATATCATCTCTGCTGGCAATAGCCAACGGGGGACGTTTCTCGGAAGCGTCATGAGTCTAACTTCTTGGACATCCCATTGAAAAGTGTGTTATAGAATTAACACATGTTTCTTTGGGATGGATTGTCCACAAACTTAGACGTATGACGCTATCGAGAAACTGGCCCCTGGGTTTCCAAGAGAACAGTCTCCTTTTTGGGATCCTTATATCTCAGACAGTATTCCAGGAATACCTAACTTTTCTAAGGGATTCAAACAGTACTACCCAGGCCCAGACTGTACAAATGAACACGTTTTAAAAGTATTCCTAGGTTTTTTTAGGTTAAGGGCTTGATGAATCATGTTCTAAAGGTGTATTTCATCTCCCAGTAGAAAACTACTCCTCCTCCGTCTTTGGCACCTTCATTCTTCACTTGGATGAGGCTCTCAAAATGATTTTAAAAAATGTAAGGATGAAACCCCTCCCCTCCCCGCCCCCCCCCCCCCAGACAGTCAGAAAATAGAGATTAACATAAATGTGCTTGCACCACTAAACGAATGCCATTACATTTTCCATGCATTTAAGCGAAATGTGGTTGCCTCTCCAGGCAGGCAAGTGGCGTTTTAACACCTCTTACAGTATCTGATGAATATTATTATTACCTTTGCTAGCATTGGGAAGACACCTCGTTTCTTCTTCTTCTGTCTCTCGGCCTCCTTGTTGATATCTGGGTACTCGATGAGGGTCTCGTACCAACTGCAAGATGCACAAAGATAGAGGAAGAAATGGGAGACTTAGAACGTTAATATGTGGAGTGGCTTATTTACAGGATGGATAATTATAAAGGCCAATATTCGTAAAACTGTATACTAGGCCTAATTGTCAACTTTCTATGTTTACACCCTAAACTTAAGTAATTAGTAGAAAACAAGCTTAGAAAGTTTATGAACATGGGCCATGGTCCAGTGGTTGCTTATGTCACAGGAAATTTAAACAAATTTAGAGAAAAAATATTTAGGATGACACACTGCTGCAATGTGGGGGCAACTCTGGGCCAGAAAACACAGTTCTGAAGAAAGAGGCCCGTAAGTGTGGACTCTCTTTAATACGCAGCTAGAGGAGAATTAAAGGCCGTCTGTACTAGTTTGAATTAAACCACCCAGGGTGGTCACTGACAGGTGGGTATCTCATCAAATAAGCTCTCAATTAACATAAGAAAAAGAGGATCATGGGGGACCAATGGTAACCGATTAGGCATTGCTTTCTATATAGAGGGAGCAAATAGTTACTAGTAGTACAGTGGGGCTTTAAGAGGGATACTACGAGTAAAATGTTTCCTTGAATTTGAAGCGCAATGTAATGGATGATGTCATAACCACCCTGTATGCAGAAGACCCTGGAAACTTTGAAAGATGTACCCCTGGCGTGAAGATGCTCTCTAGATTAAAGCAACACTCAACAGCCGTCTGCTGGGTGCCAGAAAGGCATCAACTCTACGCATTAACACCTTTCTGGCTCTCAAGAGATGCAAGCTATATTCGCATAGACCGACAGAGTTTTAAACTTAAGTTTGCGAAATCTCTAAGTTAATAAACAACAATCCACTATAAACAATGATGAATGTTCACACGGGATCAATTTTTTTAAATACATGCTACTACATGCTGGTTCAACTTTAAAGCCTGTCTGTACTAGTTTGACCAAGAGGGATTAGACCTCTCTGTAAGGTCACAGGCAGGTGGTTATCTCATCAAATCAGCTCTCAATTAACATAAGAAAAAGAGGATCATGGGGGACCAACAGGCACTGATTAGGTATTGTTTGCTATATAGAGGGCGCAAGTAGCTACAAGTAGTACAGTGGGGCTTTAAAATAACAGACTGTCATATAAACCTAAAAATTGCTCTGATTCTACCAGGCAATACATGAGTGTGTATATGCGGACCTGCTGACACCCAAGCAATCATCGTTCATCATGTTCATGCTGTGGTACAGACCCCTGGTTGAGGTTTTATGCGTGGGGGTGACTTGCAGACAAACCCATGGTGACACATAGAAAGGTTGAACAGGGGCCTGCCTTCACGAGGAACAGTTCTCCTAGGTTAGACACCTGTTTCGTGATTGTACAATATGTGTTGCTTATGGCCTGGCCCCTTGGAAATTCAACAGTTATGTCATAGGGAATTTTTTAGTAGTCATGTTGCTATTTTGGAAGTTTGGATGCAGACAAGATTAACAAAATGTCACAACGATTACCATGTTGATGCAACAACCCAATAATGGTTGGGGTTGTGGTGGTTGGGGTTGTGGTAGATGTAACAGGGTCAGAGAGGGGCCTGATTCCACGAGGAACAGTTCTTCTATACACCTGTTATGTGGTCATATGGTTTGCTAAATGGCCTGGCCCCTTTCAAATTCTACAGTCATGTCATAGGAGAATTATTTATTAATAAATAATGATTTGGGTTGTGGAAGAAGTAACGGGCCAGAGAGGGGCCAGCTTTCACAAGGAACAGTTCTTCTAAGATACACCTGTTACGTGATTGTATATGTCGCTAATGAGCTGGCACCTTTGAAGTCCAACATGTTATGTAATAGGGGAATCCTCTTCAGGTAGTTGTCATGTTGCAGTGTGGGCTGCTGACATGATCACAATTATTGCCCATTGAGGATGTGGTAGAATAGTGATGCTGGTAACACAAGGTGGCACTGGTGGCGGTGTTGATACCAATGGTAGTGATGATTGCATGTACAGTTGTAATGGTAGATGTGGTGGTACCGGTAGATGTAGTGGTGGTGGTGGTGGTACTGGTAGATGTGGTGGTGATGGTAGTGGCACTAATGGTGATCTTGTCACCAGCACTGGAGTTACTAATAATGTCTGTCCCAGATGTGGTAGTGGTGGACATGGTCATGGCCACAGTGACAACAATAGAAGTGGTTGCAGTATTGGTAAGAGTAAATGGAGGTTTTCCTAGTGGTAATAGTCATGCTCCTGATCTGGGCCCATGAATGGTGATGATGTGATGATGAAATATGGGTTTAGAGGTCATAACAATATCTGAATAATTAATTTGTTATATGAAACCATTAATCAATTTTTGAATTACTGTAAATTACATCACAACAAATAACCCCCTCTCTAACAAGTTCACACTTAAACATATTCTGATATAAAAATACAAAAAGCATTTTTGTAAAAGTCAGTGTAAACAAACCCACATTCAGCCCTACCCAGAAGAGAGAGATTGAGTGAAATACTCCATCAGCACAATGCCCAGTCTACATGGTTTATTCCCAGATATCTCCAACGTAATACAAAATCTATAGACCTGTCCTCATCAGACCAAAGATGCAAAATATCCCGGTATTTTAACTAGCCCGATCTCAACTTAGCCAGCTAATTTGCGTCCTCATCAGCCCGTAGTTGCAATTAGCGGGCTATTTGGATGGAAAAATATCCTGATAAATTGTTGTCTTGTTTCCAAAATAGCCCATTATTTGGGAAATAGCGGGCTAATATATGCCCGTCCTAGCGTATCGGTCTGGTGAAAATACAATTTCGAGCTTCAGGAAAATATCCCAAATCAGAAATAGCGGGCTATTTGGCCAACTCGGGCTGATGAAAACAGACCTTTTGTAATACAAAATCTATGGAAATTTGGCACCTTGAGGCCAGCCCCAAGGCTGTAGAAGATTTAAGAAGCTTAGTAAGGTTTTATAATTCATAAAGTTGGATTATCCTACCAAAAAAATAAAGAAAAATGCTGAGAGGCGGAAGGGCATGAAGGGAGATGAATAGAGCCAATGTGGTCAACGTATGGTCAGAAAATTAAAGGAAGCAACACTGATTCATTTATGAACAAATACTAGATATTAAAGGGATAGTTGAGTTCTGTTGCAGAGGGCGCTACACGAAATAATTTTTTTGAGAGATAATGAAAAACTGAGTGTCAAATTTGAAAGAACATAATATTTAAATGACAAAATCATCTGTTTGATCGAAATCGGTTCAGAGACGGCTGAAATATAACGATTTCTAATACTTGCGTACCACCACATAATATTTATTAGATATTTTGAAAAATTTGAAAAAACCGTTGAAAAAAAACGAAATAACGCCTTTTGCGTCGTATTTCAGCCAATGCCGATGTTGGCATTTTCCTGTTACTTATATTACCCACAATTAGCCGGCTCATGTATTGTTATTTTTAATTAAATAATTAACGGTCACCATGTTTTTTTTTAAAGTGGAGCTTAATTGGTATGATCATATTGGCTAAATTTCACACATTTCGGGGTCTAAAATTACCTTCTTAGCAATTGTAGGTTCTAAAAAATCAATATAAATGTCATAGATAAGAATAAGAGCAATAACCATGCACTTTGAAGGCATTTGCGGTCTGAAAACAGAACTCAACTATCCCTTAATAGTATTTATAGTATCTATAGAAGTAGGCCCTGATAAATACCACTCTGTTAAAAAAAGGGAATTCATTTTAATGTGATGATTTGATAACAAAAGCTACATATACATGCAACCAAAGTGTTTAACACGTAGTTGCATAGCGACTACCGGCAAACACGATGAAAAATTGAAATAAAAAAACAGCCTCTGGGGCTTTTTTCTGGTGAAATGCCTGCCGAACTTTCACTGATTTTTGCAGTGTAAATGCAGACTTCGGTAAGATAACGACTTTTGCTCGCGTGACTCTCCTTGCTTCCCTGTTAATGCATACAGGGCACTGACCAGAAATGCACAATATTCACCAAAAAGTAAGTATGAGCAAACATCAACAGGTTTTTTAGTCCCCCTAAATCAATAGATAAATGGAATTCTCTGTTTAATATCCAAAACATAGACTGGGGTCAAATTTTCTTAGTTCCTGTTAGGCCATGTTTATCTACACGGATCCGTTATTTTCAGTTTAAGATAATACATTGTATACTTGGTGTTAATAAATATCTTAAATTATTAAATATTTCGCAGTCAGACCTATGTTCATTTTGTTATTTAATATGCCAAATACTATATATTTTCCAACAAAAATAGCGTACTCTCACTAAATTCTTTTAAATGCATGTTAAGGTATTATTGTTCTCTTGAACAATACATTTATGTTAAAAATAACAAATTTGTATCATTTGATAATAGGTGGAAAAACATTGTGTTGTATAATTATATAATATTGACTGGCCTTGAGGGGTATATCAGAAATATTGACCAAGCTCAGATCATATTGCCCCGAGTCGAAAGACGAGGGCAATATGGTCTTAGCGCGGTCAATATTTCTGATATCCCCCGAAAGTAAAGCCAGTCAATATTTTTATTGTTATCCAAATCAGACATCTAGAGCAAATAGAGACATCCACCATGACAATCTCAAGAACTGAACAAACTTTGTCAAACCAACACTGTGCATCCAGTGCTTGACAACATTTTCGATACACTACAAACAGTGTGTATTTGGTGTGATTATTACGTCACAATAGAGTGCGCGCAAAGTGCGCAGGTTCTCGTACGCATAATATTAATAGATGCGCAATGAAAATGCGAGACCGTGGAAAATACCAAGGTATATTTTCACTCGTCTCTACACGCAAAGTCAATACGCGCAGGGAGACCAAGGAAAATACAAAGAATATACCCCTCCGTTCCCACTGCTAGTGAAAACTAGGGCAATACGGTTTTGTAAATGACCAGCTCAGATGTCTGATACGGGTAATAATCAGCTATATTCTTGTTGTTGATTCTATTGGTTATATTAAATATGTGTATTCATATATGTTTTGTAAAGTCGAAAGCAATATTGAATAAAGATGATTTTATTAAAGAAAAAAGAAGAAAAAAAGTATGAGCAAACTTTGACAGTAGTGTAAATGATGGCCCCCAAAATTTATGAATTTTCAAGATAGTGTTTGGTTTGTGTAAAAGGGCCTATTGACAGAAAAAGGAAAATCCCTAAAGTTAAACAGCAACGCCCACTCTCTACCACATCAAATCACTCATGACTATCCATGGTGGTTTCGGAATACTGCCAAGTCCTGAGGTTTTCCTAAACCCCAAATACGCCATCTCTATTAGAAGCTAGTCATCTATTTCACACCATCATATCAATATATAGCTCCCTCCCATGACTCTCCGCCAAGCCACGCTTCATTACGCACACCACATGAAACACGATACGGGAGTGGAAACGACTGATCAGGGTAAAGTTTCAGCTTCTTGTAGTTTCTGAGGTTTTCATGTGGTGGAGAATTCCTCTCTAAAAGTAGCCAAGGTTATAGACAGGACAGGAATAGTCTCTAAGTTGATAATGATCTCTTTAGCAGATCTCTAGAGATATCGGGTATTTGTCATAAATGAACATTTAACAAAGTTTTAATTATGGATATGTTGTAATTGTGAAAAACCAAAAAAATAAGTAAATTGAGGGAGAAAAAAATTATATGGTGTCTAGATTACTGTAAAAGTAGAAATATTTGTGGTACATTCATTCTCACGGATTTCGCGCTAAGATCGGCAAACGCGAATTTTAGAACTCGCGAAAATATAAGCATGACTTCTTATGCGTGTTTTGAACAGGCTGAATTGATAGCAACGCGAATTTGAGAACCAGCGAATATGTTTGGGGTCGCTCAGTACAAAAAATCAATCACACAAAAATAATAGCATTTAAAGTATCTCATAAGATCATTATCAAATTGGGAAGGTTCTTATCCCCCAACCCCCCCCCCCCCCCCCCAACAAAAAGAAGACATGTACTCACTTATCTTTCTCCTCCCTGGTCTCCGCCCGGACGTAAGTGGTCTCTTCGGACGCGACGATGCCCATGGAGAAGTTGTGTCCGGTGAGCTTGTCTGCGTTGAATACCTTGGTGCATTGATACATGTTGACCACGCCCTGTGGTATCGTGTTGGGCTGGAAAAATTAATATATACAAAGATTATCAGTAATAATATTTGGTTCTTGTATAGCGCTCGTATCAGTCAGACTTGACACCCAAGGCGCTCCCAATTATTACCCTGGTTTTAGCAAAGCTGCCACTACGGCGCTCTAGCATTTCAAGGAATTAATTCCTGCTAGGTACCCATTTACATCACCTGGGTTGATTACAATGATACAATGTGGATACTATAGGTAATGTTTAACATTTCATTGTGATGTACTTGGTCATAACATAGTTGGAAAAAAATGGGTTAGAAAATGCCCAAAAATAAAATACTACTGTAATTTCCTTACACTTTGTCTCTTTTATTGATGATTTTTCACTTAATATTTTGCTCAAATATCTTGATATCTTAATACTAATGAAATAATTTAAAAAGTAAGAAGAACTTAGCACCATGGGTGAGCCAATCTACCTCATATCTGGATCATATTATAGGTTTCAATCATTCTAATAAGTCAAATTCATCTGAAATATATCTAAGGTAGTTAGTAAGTAGTCAGTGGTTAGTAATATTAAAATCATATCAAATTTCCTACTCAACTAAATGAAAAGCATATGTCATAATTATTCATCATTCCTTTCGTGACATTTCAAATTAAACGCATAATAGAGAAAGGGCTATTTTTGGTTACCACTTTGTTGATGACACCAGCCACAATTACCCTGCATGTACATGTATAGTTATGAAACTATATGTTGACGGTGGAATAGATGTTTTTCATCAGAGCAGCGTATATTGGTTAATTTCTCAGCCCATCTATGGCTCAGAAACTGGAACTAATTACAGAGCTGTCCCTCCACTGAACCCAACGTATGAATAGCATTTTAATGACTTACGCAGCCTCTATTCGTGCGTCACTTTGCTTAATATCAATCCCCAGAAAAATATGAATTTGTTCCGAACCCATACAAAATGCTCTCATAATGGTCCACCCTGTTTTTAACAAAATTTTCCGGACTAATCTAAGACAGAACGATGAATAGGATAGGAATGCCGTAACTGATGATGTGTGGAGTATGACCGAAGGGACGCACTTCTCCGTTCGACGACGTGGATTGATTTGGGAACTATTTTCAGCATGCAATGGACTGGTTGGTGGTTTAGGCTGACAATTAAATGTTTACATCTTTCTTGGTGTGGCGCTGCTTTGTGCGTTCACTGAATAGTAAGAGCCCATACATCAAAACTGTCCACATTTCTTCCAGATTTAGAAACAAAATCTGGAGCAGGATCTGCTTGAATGGTCGTAGATTCATTCGAGTAAAAACAATTTCTCATGGGATTGTTAAAAATAGAGGTTCTGTTAAATACATTGTCATTAGATTAGTCTATTAAAACAAGCATGCTTGATTTTATTCGAAGAAATAGGTGGGCATACACCTCTCTTTTATTTAAAAAAAAAAAAATCTTTTAAATAATTTTGTTTAACCCATTGCCAAGTGGCTCCTGTATTAAGCATATGGGAATAAGACAATTCAATAGTCAATAAGTTAAGCTTTCTAAAAAGAAAAAAAAAATCATTTAATATAAATGCACTAGTTTTTTTCACATAAGAATATATGATTAATAGCAATGGTAAATATTAGATTTTACACAAACAATACTGCTCAAAAAGTTGATCCATTCACACTTTTGCATTCCTAACATAGCAACATTAATATTTAGTCATGAAAATGTATGTTTGAAAAGGTGACTAAACTTACATCGTAGTCCAGTGAGTAGCAAAGTTCTCCATTCTCATAGAGGATGAAACACCGTCTCTGCCATTTCTGAAAAATATGGAGAAAAGAGAAGAAGAAAAAGGAATCAAATTAGTCAAATGTCAACCATTTTGTAAGGTTTTTCAATTATTTCAAGATACGACTGATCCCTAATAAATCTACTTGAAAAATCTCCATATAACTCTGAGCTTTATTTTGTCATTAAAAAAAATGGAAAAGAGCTTCTTTTTTTTACATGCTTTTAAATGGTAGTTCAAGAAAGTTTTTTTTTCTTCCCTACAATGTACATGAACCTTTATTGAGTACCGATAATGATAAGTTGTAGTCTTGGGTCTAAAGTTGAATCTGGAAGTTTGAAAAGTGTTAAATTTACTGCAGGGCAAATGTCACCTCATAGCCTTTTCACACACAGCTAAAATTCATCGTATCTAGTGATGATTAGAATCATCGTAAAATTTTAAACATGTTTATAGACAAAATTTCCCAGTGTGAACATCGTTTATACGATGTTGGGATAGATACGAAGTCGCGATCCATACGCCCCTAAAAGCAGGCTGCAGATACGAAGTTCGTATCTAGAGAGCTTGACATTTTGTGTGTGAAAGGAAATTCGTGTTTAAACGTGTTTAAACTGGATGGAGCGTGCGCTTTGATTGACATGACATGACCTTCAATGCGCAATGGCACTACTGCGCATTTTACGAGCAGTAGTTAATCACGAAACTATTAACGATCGAACCGAAATTTCTGTGTGTGAAAGGCTCGTGATTAGTTTAAACACGTTCGAAACACGTTTATACTAGTCATGTTTATAGAATTTTAGCTGTGTGTGAAAAGGCTGATAGATGCATCATAGACTTGTTGTCATCATCATAAAATACACCTGGTGTACTTCAAAATTAGGGCATCTTGGCAGGCAATGATAGGTTGATGAATTGGTTCAGGTGAGATCAATTAAACCTCATATCAAATCTTGGATTGACATTTCAAATAGCAAACAGAAACTTTCTACAACAAATATGCAAAGCGTCATGTCAAACCCAGATCCTTGACTATGTCATGCATCATCACCTTTTTCTCTTATAAATAAAACCACAAACTGCCAAAATACATGTCATTCCTACAATTTTGCTAGAAGGACATTCAAGTTATATCAACATAGAGGAGAGTTAATGCCCTTTTAGCTGTCAAAAATGCAGAATTCCGATGAAATATAGATGACAGAGTGGTGATTTTGTGGGTTCTTTTCCACATGCTTCTACGACAATCGCTCTGTCATCGATATCTTACATTAACTGAACACCAAAATTTCAACTCTGAACCCTAATCTACACTTATAGCCTAACCCTATCTAAACCTAACCCCAACCCCAACCCCCAATAGCAACCCTAATTTAACCCCTTTAAATTTTTTTTGAGTGAAATAAAGCCAAGAGTAAATGTCCCTCTGGAGCAAATGTTGAGCTTTGCAGCAAATGTCGAGCTCTGGAGCCCGTTTCACAAAGCCATTTTCGATGACAAATGACAAAAATCAGTGACAAATCTGCTGATAACCAATCAGAAGCAAGGATTTCAGTAGCTTATAACAAAAGCTGTCATTTGTCGCTGATGACAAGTTTTGTGAAACGCCCCCCTGTTCTAAGGCATATTCTGTATGTGACTGACTGACTGATTGATGGTAATGAACATATTGCAGGAATTCAGCCATACAGTGTACATGTGTAGGTGTCAATAACCTTGCGAAGAGATAAAGATCTATTATTTTGATTGGCAGGCTGGTAGGACGCACTGACACCTTTTTCAAGAAAACGAAAGTAACGGAAGAGGGCCGATATCAACACCTGCACCTTCAAAGTATCTGTGTATATATATCGAGCCTTAATTTTATTTTGTTCCCATATTCCTCATCACAACATTTGTAAAATATATATATTCACACACTATTTTACACGCAGTTTCATGTTATGAAAAATTAATGAATGAAATGTGATGGATACACCTATAATGCATGTAGTAAGAATTCAATTGGATATCATCAATACTGGAATCTATAAATTTGTAACCATTCCGTAAATTGCATATTTTTAAATGCAACTTTTTAGGCCTAATATTAAGGCAGCCATATTCAACCAATATTAGCAATAATATACAAAACTATAGCAGAGGAGCATTTATTGGCTACATGTCATATAAATTGACTTTAGAGATTTCCAATTTGGGCTCAAGTTTAATACTGTATTACATTGCAAAAAGAAATTGTGCGAACATGAATTTGTCAGAAACCACAGAATATACAAAGGAATTTACTTTCTCTTTGAGGTAATAAATAGCTTCAGAGCATAATCTGTATCTTGGAACTATGGTTCAAAACTTCTACTCTTGAGTTTCTGCTAGATTCAAGATCAAAGTAGCTGGTGATGACAGGCCTACCAAAGTGTGAATCTACGGATCACTAGCTGCTTGCAAATAACCGGTGAAATTAACGTAACCTTCGCACTTGGCAATATTTCCCAATGACGTATGGTTTATATTTGATGAAACAATAGATACAGCAGTTGTATTTCATTCGTAATCATTTGTTTTCAATCGTATAAGGACTTCTGTCTACAATAGTCAAATACCAAAGTGTGAATCTACAGATCACTAGCTGCTTGCAAAGAACCAGTGAAATTAACGTAACTTTCACACTTGGCATTATTTCCCAATGACGTATGATTTATATTTGGTGAAATACTAGATATAGCAGTTGTATTTCATTCAGAATAATCTGTTTTCATGTTTTCAATCGTATAAGGACTTCCGTCTACAATAGTTAAGTGACCACTGGATTGGGAGATATAAACGCTTGCAGCCTTTTCATTTTTGAACATATCAATCTATTTGCTGGGAGTTAGAAATGAAACAAATTATATTCTACACCTCAATATAGAGTAGACACCCTTCCGGCACTCAGCAGACGAATAATGCTGTAATTAGCCTTTGTATTCTAGTAATATTCTATTAATAAACTTTAAATTCTTTAATCACCCCATTATAAACGTTATTATATATAATAGATACTTTTAAACAGCTCCAAACTTCCAAATCATCCTCAACTCACTTTTGAATGATTAATCAACACTTCTATTTAGTATCTGTTTCCAGACATACAACAAAACCACATCTAAAGTCCCCATATGACGGCCAAAATAACACAATGACTCTAAATTAATGTTCAAATCTCTTTCATAAATAAGTTCAAAGCATTCATCAAATGTGTATACTCAATGAGTACCAAATGGTTATGAGTGATGATATCAATCTCACTAGATTGGTCATACATCATTCTTTACAAAGCTAATTGATTCACTAATCCCAGAGGATTGGGGCTGTGAATAGAGTGTATTTGATTTCTTGTGTATGTTTATATAAAGAAACAATGAATAATGAAACAATCATTCAGATTAGCAAATACAATTAGTGAATAAATTGGTTGGTTATGAGACTTTATAATAACGGCTGTCCACTGAGTACTTCAACCACAGCCAATGAAATATGCCTTGGCAGATAAATTTACAGAATAATTCCAAGTACTTCTGATAGATGGTTTTCATTTGTGTGGAGAATATAATGTATAGGCCTCCTGTATTTCTTCTTTATAGGCTACATGTATATGTGTATACTGTTTGCTATTGGATTCAGTGCAAAGATATTAACTTTTAATCCTAATCTGGATTAAAAATGCAAAAATATATACATTTATAGTTTTATATATACCTCAACTAAACACAAGATGTCAATTTTACATAAAGGGTACATGATTTAAATTATAATCTTTCATTGCTGATTAGCATAGGCTTATACATGATAGGAAAGCAGACTGTACTGGCTGACAAGCACTAATTAGGTTCACACATGCTTCGCAGTCTGGTGTAATTAAACAGGTCTACCATATACCAACATAATTACAGCCCCAACGTAAACGATGATGGCAAGATGTTAATTAGTGTGATTGAGTACAACATTGTGTAGATATCAATGCATGGGAGACGTGTACAAGGAAAACAAGACTGGTGATCAATATTTGGAGCCAACATGTCATTAAACTTCATTAATCCCCGTTCAAGCTAGGTATAATTATAGGACAACAAGCAATGTCAGTGACATGCAGGTCTGACTAATAGGAAAGGACCGAGAGGTGTGGGGGAGGTGGGAAGAAGTCAAATATTGATGAGACTGACCGATGCGGACAGTTGGAGATGTGTGAGATAGAGAGAAGAGAAGAGACACAACTGAGATCAAGGAAAGAAATTAGTTCTAAAGAAAGATGGAGGCAGAAAGACAGAGAGGCAAGGGATAAAAAAAGAGGAGGAATTTAAGAAAGAGAGAGAGAGAGAGAGAGAGAAGGATAGAGAGACATAGAAAGAGAGACAAACAAAGAGAGGGGGAGAGAGAAAGAAAGAAAACATCATAAAAGTGAGGATCGGTAAACAGACAGCATGAACACATACTAAACTGAAGTAAATAGAATACTGCTAGATGATTACAACTTTTTTACAGAAAAAATAGAAAATGCCTACATGTACAAGACATCAAAACGAATGGGAGAAAGCAGAGAAAAGATAAACGGACTGAGAGAGAGAACAAGACACTTGTATGTGTGACAATAATCAAGTTTGAAAAGGTGACAAAAGAAAGCCGACAGAGACACGCGGCAAAAGCCGCCGCCGTCAAAGCCAGTAACGAGAATCCAACCACTTCAGTCGGCTGACACATCATCGGTGCATTGCTGGCTCTCGTCTCACATCTGAAGGCACCTCCTGCTAATGAGATCCAAGACTTCCCCCGTCATCAAGTTACTCCCGGCCTATTCCTGGTCTACACATACCATGGGGTGCGAGACCGCCCCCGTAGAGCTTCAATCAGCGCTCCCTCCCTTACTAATTGGGGTTAGAGACGGCGGTTAACCCAGTTTGCACATTCACCTGGTTTGGTTCGAGATGGCGAATGTTAACGCTCCACAACATATCGATGCTGATCGTGATAACTCGAGAAAGAGGAGAGAGTCAT